CACCCATATTCACAACTGCCCATAACTCCAGCTCCTGGGGATATGATGCCCTCTTCTGGCTTCTGCAGGCACTTGTAATCACACATGCACATGCCCACACACAGATGCACACTTGAACACAGAATTAAAAATAAATGACTCTTTAAGACTTGAGAACTGTCGATCACATTGTACAAGATGTTTGTCCTGCGTTGCCAGATCTTTATGCCTTACCACGTGTCATACCCAGAGACCATGGATGTTTATCAGAGTTTCTTTATTTGACAGGTACTTTTCCAACTGAACCACCTTGCCAGCCCCAAACTACATGATTTTATCAAGTTATTATTATTATTATTTTTTTTTGTCTTTTTGAGGCAGGGTCTCCCTGTAGCCTCAGCTGTCCTGGAACTCACTATGTAGACCAGGCTGGCCTTGAACTCACAGAGATCCGCCTGCCTCTGCCTCCCAAGTGCCACCACGCCCGGCTAGCTAATTAATTTTTAAAACAAGGCCAAGAACCTGGAAGCACCCAGCCTCAACCCCATCACCAGTACCATCTCTGCCTCAGTCTGAGTGCTAGGACTACAGGTGTGCATTACCACACCTAGCCATTTCTGTTTTCATTCCACATAGACCTGGCACGTAGGATGGGCATACCCCTGAAGAACTCACCACAGGGTCCGGAGCCGCTAATTAATTTTTAAAACAAGGCCAAGAACCTGGAAGCACCCAGCCTCAACCCCATCACCAGTACCATCTCTGCCTCAGTCTGAGTGCTAGGACTACAGGTGTGCATTACCACACCTAGCCATTTCTGTTTTCATTCCACATAGACCTGGCACGTAGGATGGGCATACCCCTGAAGAACTCACCACAGGGTCCGGAGCCTGCAGACTGGGTGCCTCAGTCCTTGACACAACAACTTCAGGCCGGAGTCCTCCAGGGGGTTTCCGGTGAGGTCTAGCTCTACTAGTTGTGGGTTGCTGCTGAGAACAGAGGCAATCTCCCGGCAGGCTGCAGCCCCCAGAAGACACTTCCTCAGCCTGGGAGGAAGGAGACAGTGAAGAGCCTGGAGTGTCCTGACCCACCGTGCCCTGGTCCGTTTAGTCACCCAACATTATAACCTATAACACTGCAAATTATCCACCCTTAGCATCCATGAGAGATTTAGTCAAAGATAGGCATGTCCATGAGGTTCAAGTCTCCTATGTTTTTATCAGATCTGTTTTTCTTTTAAAAATATTTTATTTGTGCCGTGCGTGGTGGCGCACATCTTTAATCCCAGCACTCGGGAGGCAGAGGCAGGAGGATCTCTGTGAATTCAAGGCCAGCCTGGTCTACGTAGTGAGTTCCAGGACAGCTGGAGACCCTGTCTTAAAAAGACCAAAAAAATTTTTTTTTATTTGTGTGCGTGTACTGCCTGCATGTAAAATTTTATTTTATTTTTAAAAATATTTTATTTATTATTTTTAATTTTGTGTGTATATGTGTATTGCCTGGAAGTAGGTAAGTGCACCTGTGTCGTGCAATGCCCGTGGAGGTCAGAAGAGGCTGTTGGATCCCCTGGGACTGGAGTTACAGACAGTTGTTAGCTGCCATGTAGGTGCTGGGACTCAAACCCCTGTCTTCTGCAAGAACAGTCAGTGTTCTTAACCACCGAGCCACCTCTCCAGCCCTGTAAATTTTTATTTTATTTTTAATTATATGTATGCATTTGTGTCTTTCTGTCAGTATGTGCATATGAGTGTAGTTGCTCACAGAAGCCAGAAGAAGGCATTAGATTCCCTGGAGCTGGAGTGAAAAGTGATTTTGAGGGGCTGGAGAGATGGCCCCGTGGTTAAGAGCACCGTCTGCTCTTGCAAAGGACCTGGGTTCAGATCCCAGCACCCACATGATGGCTAACAAGTATCTTTAACTCCAGTTCCAGGGGACTGGATGTCCTCTGTGGACATTGTATGATGTGAGTGCACTTACATACATGCAGGCGATACACTCATATACATAAAATAAAAATAATAAAAAAATTTTTTTAAGTGGTTGTAAGCAGCCCGTCATGGATGATGAGTACTGAGGTCAAGTCCTCTGCATGAGCAGCAAGAACTCTTTAACCACTGAACCATATCTCCAACCCCCAAGTTTTATTTAAAACTTTTTCTATTTTTATTTTATGTGTAATTGTGCATTGCGCGCATACTGTAAGTGCACCCATGTTGAGCAATGCCTGTGGAGATCAGAAGAGTGCATCAGATCCTCTGTAACTGGAGATGGTTGTTTGCCACCATGCGGGTGCTGAGAATCGAACTCAGATCCTCTGCAAGAGCAGCCAGTGCTTTTAACCACTGAGCCATCTCTCCCCCGGTCCCCTCAAAATTTATTTTTATTTAATGTATTTGAGTGTTTTGCTTATATGTATGTAAGTGCACCACATGCGTGCAGTGCTCGTAGGGGCCAAAGAGCATGAGATCTGCTGGAACTGGAGTTCTGGATGGATGTCAGCTGCCCAGTGGGTACTGGGAACTGAATCCCAGTCTTCTGGGACATCAGTAAGTGCCCTTAACCACTGAGCTGTCTTTCCAGCCCCCAGCCCCCAGATTTGTTTTGTTTTGTTATTGATCACTCTTTTAAAAACTTTATTCTTCAAGAATTCCATATATGCATATGATATATTTTGATCACATTCATTCCTTCAACTCCACCTGGAATGCCCTAATTTCCTCCCTGAAATATATATATTTCCTGAAATATATATAAATGGGTGCAGTGGAATATATATATTTCCTCCCTGTGATATATATATCACAATATATAATATATATATTCCACTGCACCCAGTTAGTGCTGCCCATATACTCATGAGTGTGTGGCCATCAACTGGGGCATGGGCAACTTACTAGCGGCCACATCCCAAGGAGAAGTGACTCTCTCTCCCTTAGTGGCCATTAAGTACCAGTAACTCCAGCTATGGATGGGCTTCATGAGCTGGTACTTCATCTATGGAATTTGGGCTGGCCTGACCTTGTGCAGGGCTTTTGCAGGTAACCACAGCTGCTGAGAATTCATGAGTGTAACAGCCACGTCATGTCCAGAAACCAGCATTTCACAGCACTTCTCCATCCTCTGGTTGTTAAGTTCCTCTTCCTTGATGTTCCCTGAGCCTCCTGGGGGTGGGCACATCTCTAGATCTTAAACAGTGTCTCTTTGTAGTCACAGCTGGCCTAGAACTCACTATGTAGACCAGGCTGGCCTCTATTTCACAGAGATCCACCTGCTTCTGCCTCCTGAGTGGCATATGCCACCTCTGGCTGCCCTTGCAGAGAACCAGGGTTCAGTTCTCAGCACCCACATAGTGGATAACAATGACTATAACTCCAGTTCTAAGGGCTCCAACATGCCCTCTTCTGACCTCTAGTGGCACTGCACACACATGATGCACTTATATATACACAGGGAAAACACATAAAATAAAAATGTTTGCCAGGTATGGTGGTACCCACCTTTAGACCTAGCACTTGGGAGGCAGAGAGAGGTGGATCTCTGTCAGATTGAGGCAAGCCTGGTCTACACGGCAAGTTCCAGGCCAGCTAGGGCTACAGAGAGACCCTATCTAAAAACGACCAAATGGGGTGGGGTGGGGCTGGAGAGTTAGCTCAGTGGTTGAGAGCACTTCTGCTCTTCCAGAGCACCTGTTTTGGATTCTCAGCATCCACATCAGGTCACTCACAACCACCTGTAACTCCAATTCCAGGGGATCTGACACCCTCTTCTGGTCTCTGTGGATACCTGCATGCACGTGGTGCACATACATCCACTCAGGCACACACACATGTACATAAAATAAATTAAATAGATCTTTAAACATCTTAAAGAGCCTATTGGGGAGGTTAGGGGAAAGGAGGCTGGGTTTGATCTGTGTATGTTATATGAGTATGGAAAGATCACATTGAAAGGTGGGCATGGTGGCACACCACCAGATTATGGACACAGGAGTTTAAGGAGTTCAAAACCTGCGTAAGCTACATAGCAAGTTTGAGGCCAGCCTGGGCTACGTTAGACTCTGTCTCAATAAGCTGAAAGAGGGGGAGGAAGAGAGGGGCTGAGGAGATGGCTTAGTGGTTAGGGTTCTCAGCATCCACATGGTGGCTAACCACTGTAAATCCCATTCCGGGGGATCTGACACTCTCTTCTGACCTCTGTGGGAATTGCACGACATGCATGCACTTATATACACGCAGGCAAAACACTCATACATAAAATAAAAATAAATAAAATGTTTTTAAAGGAGTAAAAGAGAGGAGGAGGAGGAAGAACACTTACCCACCTTCCCACCCCCACCCCACTCTGTGCTGTCCACTCACTGAATCATCTGCAGCCTACACCTGGGATGCCGCAGCCCCTCACAAAGCAGTTCCAGGCCTGGAAGCCCAATGCCGTTACCGCTGAGGTCCATCCTTATTAAATTCCTATTGGCGATAAGAGCCTCTGCCAGATCCTTGCAGGCAGATCCAGAGACCTGGCACCTCTTCAGCCTGGGCAGGGAAGGAGAGAAGCAAGTCACTTCCTTGGCGGTGGTTTCATGAATTCTCTTTTCCCATCTTCTCTCCTTTTTTAGTTTGAACGTATTTTCATTTTTCTAAGATAAAAGAGGGGCTGGGGTGCAGCTCAGGCAGAGCCCTTGTACTGTATGCAGGAAGTCCTGGGTTCCAGCCCAAGGGTTAAGGAAGAACTAAATAAAGGAGATGAAGGTTGTCTGGGGCTTTTGTGGGTGGGAGTATGGTTTTGGTTGTGATTATTTCTTAAAATTAGAAAAATGTTATGGGGGCTGAGTAGATGGCCCTGTGGGTAAAGTGCCTGCTATGCAAGCATACGAACCTGAGTTCAATTCTCACACCCCACACAATAAACCAGGTGTGGCAGCATGTGCCTGTAACCCCAGCTCTGGGGGGCAGAGACAGGTGGATCCCAGGGGCTTCTGGCCAGCCAGTCTATCTGAAACTGAACTTCAGGTTGAGTTTGAGACTCTGATTCAAAAAAGTAAGGTGGAGAGCTAGGCGTGGTGGCATATGCCTTTAATTCCAGCACTTGGGAGGCAGAGGCAGGTGGATCTCTATGAGATGCAGGCCAGCCTGGTCTACATAGTTTGTTCCAGGCCAGCTGGGGCTACAGGGGGACCCTGTCTCAAACTAAACAAAAGAAAACAAAACAGAATGAAACCCCCAAAACATTTTTAAATGTTTATTTTTAATTATGGGTATGTGTTCGTATCTGTGTGAGAGTTTGTGCATGTGAGTCGTATGTCCTCAGAAGTCAGTGGTATTGTCTCTCCTGGAGCTGGACTTCTAGGCAGTTGTGAGTTGCCCAATGTGGGCACTGGGAGTCAAACTCAGGTCCTCTGGAGGAGCAATAACATTTCTTTCTTTCTTTCTTTTTTTTTTTTTTTTGTAGTTGTGCAACCATTACCATAATCCAATTTTAGAACATTTTAATCATTATGCATATTGTATTTTAGCACGTTTTGAAGACAATGCTATTGTACAGTTCAGGCTAACCCCAAACTCTCAATCCTCCTGCTTCATTTCCAAATTCTGGGATTACAGGCATGTAATTGGTTTATTTTTATTTTTGGTGGTACTAGAATTAATCCAGGGCCTTATGCCTGCTAGGTGAGTGCTCTACCACCGAGCTATACTCCCAGCCTTGCCAATGGGGACTGCAGTGACTTCTCCTCTTCCTCCTCCTCCACCTTCTCTGAGACAGGGTCTCCTGGTAGCCCCAGCTGGCCTAGAACTAGCTATGTAGACCAGGCTGGCCTTCATCTCACAGAGATCCGCCTGCCTCTGCCTCCCAAGTGCTGGGACTAAAGGCATGCACAACCACACCAACACCAACATATAAATAAAATGTAATTTTTTTAAATGTTAAGAAAAATTGGAAACAGGTTTGACTCAGTGGTAGAGCACTGCCTAGAATCCCCCAGCGAGGGGCTGGGGACATGACTCAGTGGTAGAGCACCCGCCTAGCATGTGGGAGATCCTGGGCTTCATCAGCAGCACCACAGAACAAGAGATTAGGATACAGGCACACAGGAAGCACCCATGTTAGGACACGGGCAAAAGGCCATCTGTAAACCAAGGAGAAGCCCCACTGCTGATGGACTTCCCACCCAGAACAGTGTGGTATGCTCCACAGCAGCCACAGCTGCAGAGGCAGCATCCTGCCTGTGTCCTGGTTAGATGAGCCCATGGGTAGAGGTCATGAGAACCAGGAGAAGCTCATGCAGCCGGGACCACTTCACTCACCTCAGGTTCTGAAGTTTGCAGTTGGGGTGTCTGAGGCCTTGGCAGAGCAGCTGCACCCCCTGGCTGCCCAGTGCATTGCGGTACAAAGCCAGCTCGATCAGGTTTGGGTTGGTGCACACAGCCGCTGAGATGTGCTCATTGTAGAGGTCCGGCAGCATGTTCCTCTCGGGTCTGTGTGAAGAACAACAGCCAGTGCACAGTTTTAGTGGTCAGTTTAAAATCATGGTGGCTGCCACCTATACATCACTTCCTAATCCAGAAGCACCTCACCTTCTTTTTTAAAAAGTGGTTTTTTTTTTCTTGTTTTTTGTTTTTTGTCTTTTTTTGAGACAGGGTCTCCCAGTAGCCCCAGCTGTCCTGGAATTCACTATGTAGACCAGGCTGGCCTTGAACTCACAGAGATCCTCCTGCCTCTGCCTCCCAAGTGCTGGGATCAAAGGCGTGCGCCTCCTTAAGAAAAACTTATCTGCATCTGCCTCATAAGTTGCCTCTGAACTAGCTGGCTGAATCCCTGTTTATTTATTTAAATTTTATGTGTATGAGTGTTTTGTATGAATGTAAGTGCAGCCATATGTGCAATGCCCACAGAGGCCAGAGGAGGGCATTGGGTCCCTAGAACTGGAGTTATGGATGATTCTTGTTAGCTGCCATGTGGATGCTGGGAACTGAACCCAGGTCCTCTGCAAGAGCAGCCAGTGCTCTTAACCACTGAGTATTTCTCCAGCCCTGAATTTTACCTTCTTTATGTATTATTTCTTCTCCTTTTGCCATTTTCAAGTTTATCTCAAACTCCAGGACTCTTAGATTCCAGGGGTGGTGGTGGTGGTGGTTGTACCATGTAGTTCAGGCTGGCCCCAAACCTGCTGGGTAGCTGAGGGTTACAGTGAACACCTGATCCTCCTGCCTTCATCCCCCACAAGTGGGGATGACAGGTGTGTAACATCATGCTCCATTTTAAGCAGAATGCTTTTATCTTTTTCTTTTCTTTAAATTTTTTAAAAAAATTTTTGTGTTTTGAGTGTGTATGAGAGTATTGCCTGCATGTGTGTAAGTACACCCATGTCATGTAATGCCCACAGAGATCAGAAGAGGGTTTTGGATTCCCCTGGAGCTGGAGTTATAGATGGTTAGTTGCCATGTGGGTGCTGGGAATTGAACCTGGGTCCTCTATAAGAGCAGCCAGTGCTGTTAACCACTGAGCATCTCCCCAGCCCTGGAAGAATGCTTTTTATAATAGATTCTCCCTGACTTGAACCCTTGTATAGTCTGGGTGGGCACTGTTCAAATGCAGGTCTCCTGTGTGTTGGGGTAGTCAGACTCCCCTGCCTGCTTTGGGACTGCCCTGTTGTATTGTGGTTATGTGTGATGTTTCCTAGCATCTCCCTTTTCTCCCCACTAGATGTCAGTAGCATCACTTGCTTCTCAGTAATGACAACCCCCGCCCCCCCCCCCCAAAAAAAACCAAACCAAAAAACCAAAAACAAAAATCCTTAAAAACACAACATGGAAGATTTTCAGGAATGTCTGTTGGGAGTGCCTCAGGGACTGAGCCCTTGGTTGCTGATCATAGTGGCTTACATTCATAATCCCAGCACTCAGGAGGCTGAGGCAGGAGGATTGCTGCAAGTCTGGGGTCAGTCTGGGTTACAGAGTGAGACCCTGTCAAAAAGCAAAACAAGTTGGGGGTGGTGGTGCACACCTTTAATCCCAGCACTGGGGAGTCAGAGGCAGGCAGATCTCTGTGAATTCCAGGCCAGCCTGGTCTACATAGTGAGTTCCAGGTCAGCTGGGGCTACTGGGACACCCTGTCCTTTTTTTTTTTCCTTTTTTTAATTTTATGTGTATGAGTGTATCGCCTGCATGTAGGTAAGTGCACCCATGTTGTGCAATGCCGGAGGAGGTCAGATGAGGCTGTCAGATCCCCTGGAACTGTAGTTACAGACAGTTAGGTGCAGTGTGGATGCTGGGACTCGAACCTGGGTCTTCTACGAGAACAACCAGTGTTCTTAACCGCTGAGCCATCTCTCCAGCCCCGAGACCCTGTCTTAAAAAAACAAAAAATAAGGACTGGAGAGATGGCTCAGTGGTTAAGAACACTGGTTGTTCTTGCAGAAGACCCAGGTTCGATTCCCAGCACCCACATGGCAGCTAACAGCTGTCTGTAACTCCAGTTCCAGGGGATCCGACAGCCTCTTCTGTCCTCCGCGGGCATTGCAAGACACAAATGCACTTACCTACATGTAGGCATAACACTCATACACATAAAAAATTTTTTTTTAATTAAACAAACAAAAAAACAAATGAACCTGTAACCTCAGCACTTGGGAAGTGGAGGCAGGAAGATCAGGAGTTCAAGGTCATCCTCAGCTACAGAGTGATTCCTAGCAAACTTGGGCTACATGAGACTGTCGGGAAAAAACAACAAGGTAGATAAGATGGTTCAGTGGTAAAAGGGGTTGCCACACAAGCCATGGGGTACGTGAGCCTGTGGACTCCTAGAACCCACAGTGGAAGGAGAAAACGGATGCCTGAAAGCTGTCCTCTGACCTCCACACACAGGCCACAGTACCCCACTCCCCAACAATAAATAAAATAGAATTTAAGCACTGAAAGATTGGCTGTAAGTCCAGCTCCAGGGATTCTGACACTCTCTTCTTATCTCCTTGGGCACTACATACATGTGGTGCACAAACAGTCATACGTATAAATATAAATAAATGCCTGGAGTGGTGGCACATGCTTTTAATCCCAGCACTTAGTTGGCAAAGGCAGGGCGATCTCTCAGATGGACGCCAGCCTGGTCTCTGTAGTGAGTTCTAGGCCAGCTGGGATTACAGAGAGACCCTGTCTCAAAAAACAAACCAAAAACAAAAAAACTTTGCATTTGGGAGCTGGAGAGATGGCTCAGAAGTTAAGAGCACTGGCTGCTCTTGCAGAGGACCTGGATTCAATTCCCAGCACTCACGTGGTGGTTAACCACCATCTGGAACTCCATTCTGGGAGACTCAGTGCTCTCTTCTGGCCTCCGCGGCACTGCATAGACATGAAGTACTTGCATACATGCAGGCAAAATACTCATACACTAAAACAAACAAACAAATAACAAAAGCCCCCACAAAAATCACCCTTGGTCGAGAACCACTGAGTAGAGGCATGAACTTGGAGCCCTGTCCCACACCGGCACTTACGGGGTCCCAGAAGGGTCCTTGGGGTCATCCTCTGCGCCTGCACCGTAGGCACCCCCATACAAATGCAGAACCACCGCGTTCCTGCAGTGCCTCACGCAGAATGAGCACACCACGTGCTCCATCTTGGTGGCGACGTTGCTGACCACCACCACCTCGAAGTGGCCCAGGGCCTCCTGGATGAAGTCTTCCTCTTGGATCTCGTACAAGCAGCTGAAGAGTTCCAAGGAGCCGCGCTGCAGGGTGGAGCCCTCGCTGAGAGCCTTGTCTCGTATCCATGCCAACACCTCCTCCTTGATGTGAGGCGAGACCTTCCAGCCTAGACTCTTCTCCAGGTAGCGTTGCATCTCCTCATTGAGGAGTCCAAACAGGAAGCGGACCGTGAGTGCCAGGAAACTCCTTTGGGAAAACCCGTACTCAGTCAGCACCCTCCTCACTGTCTCTCTGCTGTGCATCACATAGTACATAGCTGCAAAGAATTCCTGGAAACTCTGGTGAATGAAGCTGTAGAAGTTCTCGCACTTGATGTCTTTCTGGAAGATGTTCACGTTGAGGAAGGGGGAGACATCCGCTCCATCCAGGCCATGTTTCTGCAGGTCCTGATCCTCAAATAGGACCTTCTGATTCCAGAGGCCATCTGCTGCCAGCGAGACCAGGCCCCTCTGGTTGGGTGGGGCTTTGAGGGTTGGGGTCCCTGGCTTGGGCTGCATCAGACTCAGAAGGTAGAACATGTAGACGGCTGTGGTGGTCCTAGATGTTTGTCTTAGAAGCTCCCCACCCTCCAGCTGCTGCTTGAGGCAGGTGCAGACCACCCAGGACACCATGGGGACGAAGCACATGGTGAAGAGGGGCTCGTTGTGTGTCATGAAGCTGAACACTTGGCTAGCCTGCTCTTCGTGGTGGAAAAACCTATAGAAGTACTCCTTTCTGTCTGCCTCAGAGAAGCCCAGGATCTCCACGTGCCTGGGGTGTTCCAGCAGGCCCTGGAGCTTCTCTAAGGCGCAGGGTCTCGTGGTGATGAGCAGAGACAGCTCGGGCAGCAGCTTCTTCCGAATCAGGCTGCTCAGGAGGAGCTCCGTGGATCGTTTCTGCTCCCAGCAGAGGCACCAGGGTCCCTGCGCATCGTGGAAGGAAGGACGGAGCTCATCGAAGCCGTCGATGATGAACAGGAGGCGGTCTGGAGCCTGGAGGAGGTCCTGGAGAGGCACACCAGGCTCTGGCCAGCAGCGGGAGAGGAGATCTTGTGCGCTGCACTGCACGTGGTTCCGGTTCAACTCTTTACAGTTGATGTAGAAGATGTAATCAAACCGGCCTTGGAAGAGCCTCCCGTCGGCCCAGTCCAGCATCACTTTGTGAGCCAACATGGACTTCCCCATTCCAGCCGCGCCCAGCACCACCACCGTGCGCGGTGGCTCAGGGCGTTCCTCATCTGGCTCAAAAAGGGACTCGATCTGGATAGGGCTGGCCTGGTGGCCCATGGTTTTGGCGTGTCCCTGCCCTGTGTCCAGAAGCTTCTGTTGGGCCCAGATGGGATTGGAGTGTTCCTTCACTAAGAGAAGCCTAGTGTAGCGGTGGTTCAAGTTGACACATTCCCCAAGGCGTGCGTTGCGGTCTTCCATCAGCCGAAATTTCCTGCGGATGTAGTCTCTGTAGGTTTCTTGGGGATCTAGTGGAGAGAAAGAGGGGGTCTGTGGCAGACTTATTAGCACTTTTTCTCTATTTTTCTTTTTTCTTAAATACTTTATTTTTACTTAAAATTATTATTATTATTGTTATTATTATTTTGGTCTTTTTGAGACAGGGTCTCCCTGTCACCCCGGCTGTCCTAGAATTCACTATGTAGACCAGGCTGGCCTCGAACTCACAGAGATCCGCCTGCCTCTGCCTCCCGAGTGCTGGGATTAAAGGCGTGCGCCACCACGCCCGGCTAAAATTAATCTTTTAAACTGGCGAGTGAGATTTATTTAAGCTAGTTTTGTTTATGTGCGGTTTTTTTGCCTGCATGTAATGCCTGCGGAGGCCAGAAGAGGGCATGGGATCCACTGGAGCTAGAATTATCCATGGTTCTTAGATAACATGTGGGTACTGGGAGCCGAACTCAGTTCCTCTGTAAGACCAGCCAGTGTTCTTAACTGCTGAGCCATCTCTCCAGCCCCTTTTAAAATTATACTTTTATTATTTTTATTTTATGTGTACGAGTGTATTGCCTGCATGTATGTGAGTGCACCCGTGTCGTGCAATTCTACAGA